TTTCTCTTGTTTAGATTTATCTTATAATCCTTGCCTGCCTTAGGTCCGTACAAGTTTAGTACTCAAAGTGTTCTTGCCTTCAGCTGTGTCTCGTAAACACTAGCTAATAGTCCTTTGTACCTTTCTTAAAAGGTTTGTTGTGTGCTGTGATTCTTCTCTTTTTTATCTGCTCATCAAGGAAAAAGATTCTAAACATTTATCTTATAATCCTCCCCTGCCTTAGGTCCGTACGAGTTTAGTACTTGAAGTGTTCTTGCCTTCAGCTGTGTCTTGTCAACACTAGCTAATAGTCCTCTGTACCTTTCCTAAGAGGTTGTTTTCCAGAGTGTTGAGCCTGAGTCTTCTGAGTTTTCTCACAGGGTATGAATCCTCTGTTAGGGTTGTGTTTGAACATAGTGGTTGGGGGTATCCTAATTTACATTTGGATCCTGCCCAGCATTTTTACCCCTTGCAGGGACCATGGAACATGTTCTGAGTGACGAATTTGAATAGTTGAGGTTCAAGGATTGGATCCGGGAGTTGCGCAGAGATCAAACGGTCCACATTGTCTGGAGTCCCAGGCCTTGCATTGAGTTCCAAGAAACAAATGAGGTGAACATGAGGTAATCCTTGTTTTTGAAATTCTATTGTTTATACAATAGCAGGAGATTTCCCAAAGCGCTCATACTTTGTCACGTCTCAAAGCATGCTGTGAAATCGGTGGTAAAACACTCGGGCAATGAGGTCTGGGCAATTGGATGGTGTTTGTTCATCCTCCAAAGCTTCAAGAATTGCCGGCCACTGTGGATCTGCGGTCATTGTAATGAAGAGACTTTGGATGCCCTACTCAGAAACCAATGTCATAGCATCTTGATATAATTGCTGCATACTCCTTGGACCACCAATAAAGCTTGATGGTAAAACAACTCTTTGTCCCACTACTGTGTCCTTGATTTCATTGCCCAAAGTTTCAATAGTACCACTATAAACCTCGGCGTGGATTTCTTTTTGATGATATCTAAGATACTTTAGATGTGAGTGTTCAACACATACATACATATCTACAGCAAATTCTTGAAAAAGCCAACCGGATGCCAAGATGAGTGAATAATGTGGCCACTTAAATAATAAGTATGCAAACCACTGAAGGTTTGACACTTCTCCATCAGGATCTGCAGAAGTCAGACATTCAAAGAACCATCAGTTATGAATAAGAATGACTAGCCAATCAGTGGCGGGCACCGCAGCATTGAATCATATTCAACCAATTTAACACCACTTTCTTTGGACCATTTATTTGATCCACCTCCCACGCTGGAATCTTCCCATGAAAGCTTTCAAACAGCCCCAGCCATGCACACATCACACATTCAATTTATTAGGATATACTACACACCCCAATACAAAAACATAGCTCACAAGTAAGCTCAAGAATTTTGACACTCAAAGCAGAAGACACTTGAAACTGATCACTGCAGCCACCAAATCATCACTCATTTCAATTGTCTTGACTTTGAATTACAACTATCTCATATATTTTCCCCCGATGTGGGTTTATGAGGGGTCTCCCTTGAGCTCATCCACAAACTCATATCAAAAACAGTGCAGGTATTAACTCGCAATTGGTTACATTGATAATTAAAAATCAAAAAACACCCATTAATATATCAGTGTGAGTCATTATGGGTTGTGATACAGAATCAACTATCAGAGGACTACTAATTTAAAATTATATATCCAAACCATGTATATCATCATTTTAAATTAAAGTTCTTGGTTGGATTGAGGCGCACAGCGATGACAAGCTCTGTGAAAAAAGGAACGCTTACATTGTTAAGACACCAGTGTATTGATCAGAGAAGGCCGGAATCTTCATGCAAAGACTAGACGGACATATTAAGATCTCCTCAGAAATCGCGGGTCACACAAAAACTAAAATACACCGCCGCCTCGGACCTACCAAACCAAAGGATTCAATTTTCAAAAAGGCTCCAAAAGGCCTTCCAATTGACCTTTACGATTTCAACTGGTTCTACAATACGTTGTCAATTTCCCAGAGGAGTCACATGGCTGACATTGACAATTTTTGCTTTCTGCCGGAGGTAGAGCTCTCACTACTAGGTAAAGCTCACCCCGACGAACACCTGAAGGACAAAGCTTTCACCAAAAAGAATTGGGATAGCTGTGCTCAGGGCTACAATTTGGATTTCTTAACTGCTGGAGGAGGTACAGATGATGAAGATGAAGATGAAATTATCAATGTGGATGTCACTGATGATGAGGAGGACGATAACAAGGAAGACTTTGAGGAGGATGAAGATGAAACAGAGTTTGAAGACAAAGAAGAGGGGGTTTGAAAAAAAGGCAAAGGTAAACAACCGGCCCAAAGTAATAAAACACATGAGAAGCCAAAGGGCACAGGCAACCTTTGGCTTGATGATGACAATATGGAAGAAGCTGAGGACAACACCCGAGCTTGACAATGGGATAAGTGGAATGATTCGTAGTTGTTTTTAGTTTGTTTTTAGTTTTCTACTTTGATTCATCTCAGTTGTTTTTAGAATAGTTTTATGATCAGTCTTGGTTGTTTATGTCATTCTCATCTTCCTCATGTCACCCCGGTATTCAGAACGGCCAATGTGTTTGATGTTTGATTGAAGAGGATTTCTTTGTGTCATTGAAGCACAAGTCATAAAACATTTGAAACAATTACAAATGAGAGTTGTCATACAGGTAACAAAAAAAAGAAGTAAGAGGACAAAAATTTGTAAAAATTGACCTCAGTCAATATCCATTTGATCCTCTGCATTAGCCATATAAACATTGTCCATGTCTTCATTTGCCATTGAGTTGTAGTCCCCAGGGTTGAAGTCAATAAGGAGTAAGCTAGGGCTCTGTGAACCCAGACTCCAAGCAGGTAGCACGCGGTGAAAGAGTGTGCATAGGATTTGTGATGCTGAAACAAAATCGGTCTTCACCGTGCAAACCAGGTGAACCCACCCCAACCAATCCATGATTGGATCAAGGAGCGGATTGACCTTCTTTTTCAGCCATCTCACCATCACAATCCTATCTTTTGATTCAAACAATTCAAAAATGTGCAGCACAACACCCCAAGAAACCTTATTGTTATGTTCCACCTTGACCATGTTGGAAGTGCCCTTCTTGCTGTACCACATCCCAGACTGGCTGATCAAACCAACGACTTTGTGAGCATAAGCAGGCAGGATACGAGCTGATTTAGGGTGAGGTAGCTTTTGATAGTTGGTCCACAATGTATCCTGACTTTGATAGTATGCCAGCAATGATTCGTAAGTTGTATTGTCCATTTCAAAGAGTTGGCCAATATTTCTCTGAAAAAAATTTGTAGGAATATGTTCCTTAGGCAGTGCTTTGCACAGCAGGCGTTGTTGATGCCAAAACCGTTGCATAATCGTCTGCCCCATCTCCTTTAAGGATCAAAGAAGTCAAATCAGCTATGAAAACTTTCCAAAGAATATTGTTTGAATGTATGATGTACTCACCAACTTTTCCGTTGGTCTTAATCTTTTACAAAAAACCACATAGCCATTCACCTGAAAATTTGGACACCGCCATTAGAGGACCCCACCAAGCCATTTGCAATGGTATATGAATGGCATAATGATGATTCGGTTTGATTACACAATCTCCATCAATATCATTTGTTGTGATTGTATATTGAAAGTAAGCTTTTTTGAATTTCTCTGGATCTCCTTTTCTAACCTTCATTGATGTAACAATGTGTGTTGCCTCTACTAGAGCCACAAAATCATTACATTTAACCACAAAGGCACTTCAAATACAAAACTCGACAAAATCCACCATTAGCGCGATTTTTGAGTTTTGTCCCTGGTCAGAAACCTAACTTTGTGCATCAATTTGCATTCCCCATCCATTTCAAGCAAATCATTTACCCGACGCATCATCCACTACTCCTTGCCTCAAAAAAATCACTGCTGTGATCCCCACTCATTGTTGCACATCATTGGTATCTGAATGTAGTGTAGACATCCTTCTCCCACAATCACACAAACCATCCAACACATACCTTGGCCTAATTCAGCTTGGTGGAAATTGAAACCAAGATGCCATCATCTCAGATCTACTCAAGCAATTCGAAACTCTTATTCTTACATCTAAACGGTACCTTTCAAGTTAGTAGATCTTGTGCGCCCTTTATGGGACTCTTTGAGTGATGCTAAATTGTTTCAGTTTGTAGACTTGTTCTTTCTTGCAGTGACTTAGATCCAGTCAACAATTTGAATGATGACTATGTAAGAAGTATTCTTACAGATCATGAATGTAAGCCGCCTTTGTTCTTCAATCTCAAACAAAGAAGGATTTGCTTGATAGATTTACTGATATCATTATCTTTCTCAATTCGTGATCTCCAGGGCCAACTTGCAACTAACAATCTCCAAAACATAATATCTTAAAACAACAATCCATCTTTTCTATCCTCGATAATGGTCAGATGTGTAATCAATCAAATCGACTCATAATCAATTCACTGCAACTACTCATTGTTGATCCTCTCGACTAAAACACAGCAGCAAGCATATCACCTATTTCACTGACAATTCACGGTTCAGATCGGTCTTCAGAATTGTACGTGTGCTTGATTGAATTTGAATAAGCATGCAGATTATTTATAACTCTCAGACTGCAAATTACAGCTCCCAAGACTTGCCAATTACAATAGAGTCACTTCTTCAAGAACTCGGTTCATTGCCACCGTTGGACGACCTACCAAACTTTGACAAATTCTCATTGGATCCTATTGAGATATCTTCATCTCTTTCTGAACGGCGTGGCGTCTTGTTAGAAAGAAACCCAAGTGTTACCCTTGATGCTGAAACGCAGTCACATCTCAAACCCGCAAGTGGCATCCAGAAGTCAGATGATACCGCAAGCTCAGAATTTCTTGGATGGAGAAAAAATGGGGTCGGATTGGATTGGGCTACTCAGGTATCTCTTTTTTAGAATGATATTGGTTGGCCATGTACCAATTCAAATTTCTCCTTGGTCTCGTGCTAAGAATAGCTAAATCTGACATTGCCCTTTTGAGAAGCTCAGATGAACACCAAGACAATCCGATCACAATGTCTCAGAACGCAAAGCTACCTGCTCAAGATGCGTTGGAAAGCCCTCCAAATTCAGGACAGCTCAAGTGCCCAATTCAGACTTTTCAACTCGATTCTCCACCTTCCAAGCAAATAAAACTTTATGCTTCTTCTTCATTGGAGGAAAACGGATCCGTCAGGCAAAACACGGGCTCTCAATTTGTGGCTCAGGAGCAGGTTCCGGTCATACTTCAAATTGTGAAACAGTGAGGTAAACACTCAGAACACCTATTCCTCTCTTTTCATTCAAATTCATACATATCATACATAGGCGTATCACACACATGCACTTGGACAATCAAATACTTAAACTCAGCATTCATACTTTGGTTTTGAATTTTTATTTCGAATATCAATGATCAGAAATGGAGATAGATACTTGGTTACCTAGCTTCACGTGATGGCGGCCAAAAATGATACGGTGATCAAGGATGAATTGGCTTGAGGTGAATAAACTCTGACCTAATAGTCATTTTTTCATCCCAACTGCTGACTAAACCCTTGGTTTGACATTCTGTGAAAGGGTAAATGAAGAACAAAAAGACGAGTTTAATTAAATTCAATAAACAGTGATTTACTGTGATAATAGGATGTTATTTGTTTTGCATCTTCAAGTTCATCTGTTAAGGGTCTTTCTAGAATCCCTCTCAAAGGATATCAAAATTTCTTTGTACGTAGTTAGAAATCAAGAATAGGAGTTTAAATCTCAATGAAGCAAACTAATTCAATCAATCCATCATTGTTGTCTTTTTCTGGGGAGCCTTCAAGTTCGATTTCATTGGTCATCAGGCAAGAACGATCATCCAATTTTCTTATCGTAAGATACTTCATCTGATCAGATTCAAATCAGGTGAGTCTTCCAAAAAGAAAAATAATCTATCTCTCAAATGTTCAGCTGATTAACTGCCAATGAGATCTAATCTTATCTCTAGAGAATCGAAATACTTGACCATGTCTTTCCTCGAATACGACTTATCAAGTTTGATATCTACTTTTAATCGTGATCTTTTACATTTACATTCTTCCAATGAGTCTTATACAAATCAAGAATTGAATACAGATTCTGGAATGTTAGAAGACTTTCAACTCGTTTCACTCTTCAATACAATTTGGAATCTCTTCAAGACTAACAACAACAAACCGAATTCAAACTCTGTCTTAAGTAGTACTACAACCACTTCCAATCTGCTTTCCCTCGCAACTACTATTAGGCTTCAGACAGATCTTCGGGAGTTGACTTCTAATTTCATAAGTATCTGAGCGAGAATCTAAATCTAAGCAAGAGCTGAACTTGTCAGACTTACAACAATACTCCGACCTATCTACTTTTGACCCACCGCTTGAGTTGGTACTTAAACCGGTAGCTACTCCTATCACGTCATTTGAAGATACTCACAAGTTATCTACACCAGTTGGAAGTCCGTCTATAACTTTAGTGCGTCCATTTGACTTCCTCTTACCCCCCAAAGAAAATAATCTACTCTGTTTCTTACCTACTTTGATTATTTTATATATGCTCCTTATACTTTATCATCAAGTCTTCTTTTCAACAACCTAATACTCATCATTGTCCTGAACAGCCTAGGATAGATTTAACAACTGTTAGATCTAATGATACACTTGGACATACCTTTCCTGTTGGCTTCAGAGCTACATTTGGTGGAGCTCATCATTTAGGAAATGTTCATATTCTGATAGTCATTCAGTGAATGGTCTTTCAGGTATGCATCTTTACAACTTTGAGGAAGATTTCACCGTTGCATATATATGCTTATTTGAAAGCCACACAAACTTGGAAAGATTTTTAACTTATAACTGATTATGATGCATTGTTTGGGAAATCTCAAGCAATCAATTGAACTCACAATCTAAGAAAACTTGTGCAATTTGTATGGATTCTGTAAATGATCAAGCCGATTTAATCAAATTATCACGTACCCATTTCTTTCATGCAAAAAGTCGTATAATTCCATGGATCCAAAGGAATCCAAGTTGTCCAGTATGGTAAGTTATATTCTTTTCCTTAACTCATTTCTTGACTTTCAAACAAACAAACAAACTAATCAAACTCCTTCCCTTTTTCTTTGGTTTTGGTCTTTTCTTTTTCTTTTCTTTCAGTCAGTATAAACTTGTGGATATAGATCTGTTGTTTCGTGAAAACAATTCAAGATTACCTGATCATCTTTATCAAGCTTATTATGAAAGTCTTTTTAAAAATCATCATCTTTCTGCTCAATCTAATCCTTCAACTTATCCTAGACAGAATTCTAATGATCAAGCTGTTGTGATGCCTACTATCTGGGATTCTCATTCTCGTTTTATGATGTAAACTTTTATCCAAGTAGTTGGTTTCTTCCTCTATTGGTTTTTTTGATATCGTTTACGATTCATTTTTTTTCGATTTTTTTTGTTTTTCAAGCAATTGACATTTATCATTTGTCTTATCTTTCTATCTTTTTTCTCTATCATCATATACTGATATACAAATCTGAACACAAAACCTTTTAAAAATTAATATCAACAAATTGTATTTCAATCTTTACCTTTTCTGCATAGTCATTTTTAATGACTCCTTTTTTGATTGGAAAACAAAGTTAGTCACCATTTATGATGATTTTTGACTTTTCTTCAGTTTATGGAATTCTTTTGGATTACCTTTACTTTACATAATCCCTCCTCTCGTTCTCTTTCTTTGTCTCTCCCTCTTCCTATTGTATTCTTTCTGGTGTCATCTTATCTTTATTCTTCAATGGGTTATCTTGGATTGTCTTTCCTTATATCTCATTCTATATTCCAATGTCCATTTGATTGGTTTCTTATCTGACCACTTGGATTCTTTACCCCAACCGCTACCGGTTCAGTTTCTCTCATCACGATTCCTGAGGATTTAAATCTCTTTCATTCCTTATTGATTCAATTCTAATTTGTTTTATTAGATATTTTGGAAGTAATTGGTGGTAAGCTATCATCATTTGAATGAGTTTCAATGATCATTCAAATCATTCCTATCAATCTTCATACCACTACTTCAGATATCGATCGTCCTGCTATGAATCATTCAACTTCAATTCCTTCAAACTTTCGCAATCAACTTCAACAACAACAACATCCTAATCATTCAAATTCAATCAATACATTTGATCCTGGGTTTCAAGTGCCATCCAGAATCCAATCTCAGTCCACAGAGAAGCTTCTTTTGGTGGGAGATGTCGGGTATTTTGATTCACGGATTGCATTGCTAACTCAAAATATGAGTGATCAAAAACTATTTCTCCTTTCTCAGATTCATTCAGACCTCTGAGTTGACATGTCTTTTTTGAACCTCCTTCATAGCGAATGGCCTTGGATGTAGGGAAGAAGTTCGGGAGAATCTAGAAGATGCAGACAAAACTGAAGGACTTTCTCTACATGACAGAAGGACTCAAGTGAGCCTTTTTGATTGCGTCAACTCAACTCATGATTCCCTTAGTTCACCAATGTTTTTTTCCCGCAGCAATACACAATCCTATTCTTCTGACTTCAAAGTGAACCAAGAGATATTGCTGCCTTGTGTAGATTCATTTCCATGGGCAAAATCAATACTCTCCTTCAACCCGTAATGTTCCCGCTCTATGGTAATCAGTACAAGAATCCAGGATGAGACTTTTGGTTCTCCATGTTTCAGGTCTTGGCTTTGATTCCTGAATCTGTGGGACAACCAAAGTCTCCTCTCAATCAACCCCGATTGAAATCAAACCTGTTGAGTGGTCAATATTAGCTCTTGAATTGGACTCAGTTAGATTACTCATTGAAGAGATCACAAGCAAAGGAACGATGCATGGTTCAGATAAGCAAGTAAATGAATCTGATTCAAAGAAATCCAAGACTTTGGAGAATGATGATTTGAAAACTCTTAGAGAATCTTATTGGTTGGCTAATTTGGTCTTGATTATCATCACAGATTTATTAGTTGCAGTTGGTTTTGATTCATTTTTTCATTGGGAGAGAATGAATGTTGATGGAGGTTCTCTTGAGTCTTATTCAGCTTCAATCAGCACCTGAATCGAGCTTGAAATATTATAAACACCTGATAGATGCAATCTCATTGGCTATCGATTTAAGGACTTCTCAGACTCAAGCATTGATAATGTCATTTCATCAATCCATCCGATGTAATGTATTATCATCAGTTAATAAACTATATCATTTCATTTCCAGTTGGTTATCATTCATAATCTTGAAACATCATCACCAAAACTTATCTTTGCTCCCTTGATGTCATAGGACTCTCAATCCTCATAGGCGCTCCTATTCAAGATGTAAGTCCAGTGACAATACACTTGCTGCATTGAGAAGTCTCTTACTTTGGTTCTTATGTTTCCTCAAATGTAGTCAAATTCAGATCAACCTATTGAGTTTCATAAAGAGTCTCACAACTGTTGTCATATTTGTTGCTCAATTCTCAATATCTCAAACCTAGAATCCAGTCAACTCATGAAAGTCTTTTACAGTTTGAAGAAATCCTGTACCACGGAAGATAATCATTCTTCTTCTTCAATTCCTCATCTTGATCAACTTGCAAAAGCTTGCATGGAATATCCATCTTTCTTTCAACATATCAGTCTGTCAGAACTACACTGATTGTGTTACTCTATTTCCATCCATGTTGGGGTCAACAAGGATCATCGTCCTGATGTTGAGGAGATTCTATGATACAGGCTCACATAATTATAATACGGTAGTCTTGACCATTCATCCAGCTCTCAATTTGAGTATGAATTTGACTTTCTGATCTTCCATAGGAAATTATTCCAGACATCTTCATGCGTTATGTCCATCAGCAGAATTTCATCATCAGAATCACACTTATCCTACTGCTTGAATGTTGAGTTTCCAATATCTATTTTTTCTATTGGATCAAACAAATATGGAAAGATTTCAAACAGAAATCAAACATATTACCTGATATGATCTCAACTCCTATCATTAACACCCTTGACCAAGTTGATATATCCAATCATTTCAACTTCACATTCTCAAGATTGGTCAAAGAGGGAAGTCTTAGCCTCCAAAAAGTCCTACAAATACTGGGTTACAGGTGATCTTCTCATAGCTGAGACATGTATTAGTTGATTCTTTGACTCCGGCCCAAGTGGTAGTTGGTCACCTGAAATCGCTCATGAAATCGGTCCTCATGATGGTCCTGCTACATATGAGTGTGTAACTTATAAGGAGATTTCATCAAGAGGATTATCAAGATGAAATTACCAACTATGTTGATTTTTCTCACTCAATGTCATTTGACTTGGAATGCCTCAACTGATTAGACATTCCGCTTATTGCATTTTTAGACACCACAGAGTATTAAAATGTTCTTAATGACAAGCTAAAAGAGAAGTATATCGATAGCAACCAAGCGATACGGGAATCAGGATGGGATACATCACTCCAATTTGGTCCCTCTAACACTGAGATCTTGGATTTCAACCCAATCTGTCTTAATTCATTATTAGTCCAAATGGAAGAAGATCTCTCCAAATTATATGCTATGAACAAATCAATTGGCCTAAGAAAATCTGAGAAGAACTCCCAAATAAGAGAATATTGTACTCAAAAAGCTCAAGATTGTAACTTGAAAGGCTGAGTGGGGTTACAACTCAAACTTCAAATGAAATTTATTCAGTGTATTGTCAGTAAAATGACGCTTTAATTCCATACATAAGGAATTTAAAGGCATTTTGAAATAAACCCCAGGTCTGATTTTGATTCATTTAGATTCCCTTGTGGCCTTCATCCTGCCCCAGCTTATCAACTTTTACCTCCTACTGGTCTTGCTCTAGCTGTAGCATCTAATAATAATCTTGAATGAATTGCCAGACATCCCAGGTGAGAAATCTATCATTCCAGGTACATCAAATCCATACCAGCTCAGTTCCTATCAAAGCAGTAGATATCAACCAATGTGAATTTCTTTGATTTGCCACAACCTGTTTTATTTATATATCTGTTGTTGTTCAATTTGAGTATCCACCGGAAAGCAAAGCCAAAATGTAGGGTATGTACTCAAATTATTGATTCAGCAAAACAACTAGAAAATCAGCAAAAGATCATTCATATGAGTAGACCATTTATTCACACATTCAGAATTCATCTTTTGTTCAAATGTGCTGAATTTTGTTTGTAATAATATTGTTCAGATTATGGCTACCATACCTTTGTTTGTTTGCACCTCTAATTGTTTTGTGGACTTGTGCACAGTTTTGGTTTCAAACCTCTCTTACCTCCAAAGACAATTTTGCCGCTTTTGCTGTCTGGTTCTTATGGCTTTTTAGTTTCTGTTTGTGACTAACAAAAAATGATGTTGGCTTCCTTTTAAGTGTGTTGAACTTCGTTTGTGCCACTGGTTGTTTTTTTATATCCTATTTTGAAACACCTCCTTGCACAGTATGCCATGTCCTTCAATATTTAAAACTTTGTTTGAGGCTCTTCTTGCTCATTGTAATGCAGAAGTGTTAGATATGGTACAGGTTGTGTGCAACCCATATACTTGCTTTGCTCAATACATACAGCTTGTTTGTCAAAATGTGGCATCTATTCTGGCTGAGAGCGGCGCCCGCCGCCCCCAAATGGCTAGTTCATAAGTAAGTTGTGAAGAAATGAATCACCTCGACCTTCAACAAATGCCTCATAATCGCCAACAAAGAGGTCGACAGCTGCAAGCGGCAGGTGAGTGGCAAACAAAGAATGCCATTCACTTGCTTTGAGTTTTCCGTTTGCTGCGGTTCCAAGCCCAGTAGGAATCCTTGTCACGCCTGGAGGTGTCTTGACTTCTTGCAAGTTTTGCAGAACAGCCTTCTTCATTTCACCGTCAAGCCAACCTTCACCCTCCTTGTTATCCACTTCAATCTTCCATCTATAGCGGAAATGATTAGCCAAGACTCCCTCCAACCAACAGGGCATAATTCCTAGCACAACATCCTTGACCGGATCCCAGTACGGCAATAGATTCAATTTGGACCATCAAACCCCGGTGGCTATAACTTTCTTTTTTCTTTCGTCTAGGTTTTGGCTGTTTTTCCAGTCGTGAGCTGCTTCCAATGTCTCTCTTTGGCTTCGCTTACAACCCAGGATCATCTTTGGTATGTTGATTTTGTCGCAATTGCACCACCCACAGAAGCATGTCCCTGAATGTGACGTGAATCCGGCTACTTTATGATTTCCCACTATGTCATCGCTTGGATTTGATAATTGAATGACAACCTTGTGACCTTCGCGATATCAATGAGTTTTGACCAACACACCACAGTTCAATGGTAGTATTTGATTGATTGATGGATGCATTACATGTACAAGTGTAGTCATGTTGGGCTGATTAGGCGCTGGAACCATTCCGGCTAGAGACGTGTGCCTCATTTGATGACAAGATGGAGGCGGTAGATTTAAACATTGCATTCCAAAGACTCCAATTGATACCTGTCTTCCCGAGGTTTTGTTGCCAAGAGGGTTGAACCAATCAACAAAGAGAGAGAATGCAAGGTGTAGAGGTGGTGGCAAAGTGGAGGCCGATGCAGACGTTTGACAGCCCAGGAATAAGTTTTTCCATGCTGGACTTCCTATGTAATCAGTTATCTCATTGTCATCTTTTGAGTTACATTCTTCCATCCGATTGTCAATTGAACTTTCAACATAACGTATTGACAAGAACCAAGTGAGCCATTCTTGGAAGTCTTGAATAATAAATGTTGAGATAGGTTTCTTGAAACACTACGCCAGATTGAAAATTTACCGCTGAGTTTAGGAAATTAAGACAACATAGAAAATTATACACAAGGTGGAAGGGGTCAGAAAAATGTGGAAAAATAAGGGATGCGTCCCCCCATGTGTGCCCATCATTTTGCATATTTTTTCAGATTTTTAGGGCAGCAGTGTATATCAGGTCAGAAACTCAGTTTATGTCCAAAACTGGCAGTCATTGAGGCATTAACCTTGTGGGAGCAACATAATTGTCAAATGTGCATCAAAATCTGTAATGTCTCCACATTTTGAATGCTACATGTTTATTCTACCACATACACATTTTAATGAGTGGTGTGTGTCCAACAACACAGAAAGCGCGGCAATCACGGTCCTCATCAGCAAAGCTAGAAAAGCTTATAAAACATTGCTGTAATGGTTTTAGCATTCAAATCAAAACTGTAGACCCAGTGTGTGGCTTTCATAATTTGCAACTGCCAAATTTATGGCAGGAAAATTGTTGTATTTGTGAGTGCTCAAAAGTTTCTGCCCAAGCCTTGGTAGTTTTGGACAAAATCTGAGTTTCTGACAAGATATACCCCAAATCATTTTTCTTTGCAACATCTTCAAAAATGCAGGTAAAAATATGAAAAAATGTGAAGAATGATGGGACACCACAGGCAATTAAACCATAATTTCATCAAATTTTTCTAACCTCTCACGCATTGCTGAAAATTTTCTACATTTTTACTTTTCTAAACTCCACGGTAAATTATTGATTTGGTGTAGTGAAATCGGCTTTCATAGGTTGACAGGGTCGTTTCTCAGATACACAAGTTACAGTCGGAAGTTCAGGTATGATGATTTTAGAGAACAGATCGGCTCCACAGACTTTCGTAGTTGACAATTCTTGATAGCCGCATTCAGGTGGTGCGACTTCTGGCTCGTAAAGAGAATAGCACACAGAGCAACAGACAAATCACTCCAGTTCGGCTTCAAGATTCAAACAATATGTGATTGTCCGTACATCTTTTGGAACAAATGAAGTCCAGCCTTCTTGCGGATTGATTTGAGTACACATTTGAGCAATACCCATAATGTAGTCTCTTGCTTTTCGGTAGTTTACACGGCTTATTCAACATTTCAGGTATAGCCAACCTATGCAATACATGACAAGATCTAAAGTTCAAAAAATGTTCTTGTCAGCTAAGTCCAAGAACAGGGAGGATTTGGGGGATCTTACAGATCAGTTTGAGTTGTTTAGGATTCTTAGAGGAGGTATCATCATCCTCTTCGGAGCTGACATCTGTTGGATTGACATTGGTGATTTGGGCCTTGTGGGAAAAATCTTTGGCCAGTGCAATGAGACTTGAAGTACCTTCCGTGTTGTCGCTAAGTCTTGACCTGTGTTTTTGGCGGGTTGCTGGATGAAGCCACATACCGTTTACTTTGTTGCCATTTGGACTGGTATGCTTAACTTTGATACAGTGAAAGCAGGTGCAAAGGACCATTCCGTTGGATTGATCCGTTTCATTGATGTTGTCCATGGAAGGCTGGGAGATTTCAAATTGAATGGAATTGTGCATCAGGTAGGAGAATTTTACACAGGGCGGTTTACACAGACTCACTCGGTGTAAAACCTTGACTGTGTAAAATTCAAAATGCATTGGGTTCAATTATAATTTTACACATATTTGATTTTTTTACATTCCGTGTAAAAAGTCTCTGTGTAAAGAAGTCAGTGCAAAAGTCTTGGACCCGGATGTGACTTTCAATTTTGCACTGACATTTTTACACAGAGAGAGGTGGTGTAAAATATGTCAGTGCAAAAATCTTGTACCCGGGGGAATATTGAATTTTGCACCAAAACGTTTTACACAGAGTGATACCTGGCCGTCAAATTTACACCGGGAACTTCACACTGAGTAGATTGGTGTAATTAGACCCAGTGTAATATTACCACTTCGGGGGTCATACTTTGAATTTCACGCTGAAAGCGTTTATACACAAACCACACCAACCGATATATATCCCGATATATATATTGGTGTACACAACTTTGGCCAAAGGGGAATACGACCAGATGTTTTTACCTGAATGTATGCCATTGGATCAGATGATTTACCTGATCCAAAAACCTTTCCCACATATCCAAGTGGAGGATTGGACAAAATCGAACAAAAAGATTGACAATTATACCTCCATCCGAACTCGATCAAACCTCAAAGAAACCTTACCGAGCTGCCAGAACCTCCTCACATGCCAGAATGGGTCATGGCCCATCATGTGCCGCTGGAAACACTCCAGAACAAGTTTCGAACGAGATTATCTTGAACGATAACACTTCAATACCTATTCCTTCATTTACTCAAGGACATAGCGATTCATTTTCTTGAAATGTTTTTGCCACTTCTTGGGTAGGTTTGGCAGGTCAAGAGACAAAGCTTTCATTCTTTTAAATTTTAAACCCGAATCTGAGTCAGAGCTATCACTACTAGAGGAGCTTGACAGGTTATTGGAAGAGTCGGTCTTTGACAAGGAGTCGCTCAAAGTGGAGGATTGGGAGTGGCGTCTAGTTTTCCCCGGATCTGGGCTAGAGTCTGAGGGTTCTGATTCCGAGGAGTCTGATTGACTCGATGAAGATGAAGGTGAGTCTTTCCTGTCCGTCTTCCTTCTCTTAGGAGACTTCCCGGCAGACTTGTCTTTTGCCTTCGCTTTGCCCTTATCCTTCTCTGACTTCTCCTCCTTCCTTTTCTTCTTCCCTTTTGACTTTTCAGCCCTAGCCATTTCTTCCTTCGCCAAGGCTACCGCCAACCTACCTCTCAAAGACTTCACGGACATGAGATTTTCCGCTCAAATGGCATCCGCTAGGCAATCTAGTATGGCATCGCTAGTTTCATCCCCGTCCATTTGGTCTGTCTGAGTTGGCAACAAAGTCGAAGTAGACTTCTCTTTTGACGTAGGAACTGGTGAAGGGAAATTCAGGCGGTACAATGCAATCAGTAAGTCTGAAGCAATTCTTTTCTCTACTGGATCACGCAGCATCAGGAGATTGAATCCGACAAGAAGGTTTGCTGCAACTTCAACGAGGAGCGTGTCTAGGATTGACGGCTAGGATGCGTACTCAATGTAGCAATCCGGGAAACATACGAAAGGATGGAATTGCTACAAAAGGATGGAATTGCTCTAAGGCCTAGGTGTTGTGGAGGAAAGAAGGCTTCCACAGATGATAATCTGGAGCTCCAAAGCTTCAACAGAAAGAGTTCTGGAGCTGTGGTGTGCAGAGGTTCACTAGATTGTCCGTCTTGCTACCACAGACTAGCTGGAGCTATGACAACATTGAACCACAAGGGGAATTCAGGGATGTAAAAGAAATAGGGGGTTGGAGATTTGGGGATGATGGGATGAAGCTAGAGACATGGGAATCTTCCTTATCGGTGAATTCGTAATGGGTAACTCACCAAAGTTCTTCTCAATTAAACCTCTCAGCTCATCTGCACCCAAATTAACCTCTTCCTTGTCCAATGATGATACTGATGAGGACTTATTTCTACCCTTCCCTTTCTTCGATTTCTTCCTCTTCTTCTCCTTGCTTTTTGTTTTCTCTCCGTCCTCTTTCTCAGTCTCCAAAGATTTGCTATCGCCATCCGATCAATCTGAGCCCGATTTAGAACCAGGCTTGGACTTCTTCCCTGATCTCTTCGATTGGCTCGCCTCAGTCAAGGCTAAAGTGCTCGTGGTGATGGTGAATCTAGGGGTGGGTTGCAAACCAACGTCGTCCTCTGGTTGGGTGAGCTGGAGTTGTCTAACTTGAGAGGATCTAGATTCTGCCCTCTTTGTTTGTTCTTCTGCCTGAGCTTTCTCCTTTAGAAACCTTGCGAGTTTTGCCTCTTCTGCCAATCTTGCTGCCTGAATCATTGGGTGATCTTGGTATTTGGTTAGGAAAGATTTTGTAGCTAACTGTCTCCACATTCAAATAGTTATGCGATGATAGTTCTATCTTCTTTTAAAGAAATTAAATATAAGAAAAAGAGATGTGAGAATGTGAGAGAGAGAAAAGGAGGACTTGACAAATTCTCGAGCGCAGCTGTAGGTTCACAGGAGAGCATTGAAGGAGAAGTGAGGAAAGATTTTCCACTTCTTCTGAGGCGTCTTCTGCCATGTGGTTACCACTTCCCACATGTCAAGACTGTGAAACTCCAGCCTGCACCTGTGAATTCTCACACTCCACTGAATGGACTACTCCGTACCTCCGCGAGCTCTGGGAACATGTACAATTACTTTTTGTTTCTCTTCTCATTGTCTTTCTTATTACATTTTGTTTCTCTTCACTCATCTTCAGATATTTTTCTTTTTTCCCCCATTCACTCTTTACTGGTTGTTTTGCTGCAAGTCTCATTTCTTTCTTCCCCCTCTGAGTTTCTATAATTCCTTCTATTTTGTCTATGGTACTTACAGCACGAATGTTGGTTTTATGTGTAAAAATTGATTTTCTTGTGTAAAATGTTGACGGTGCAAAATTTGATTTTGCACATGTTGTTTGACACTTTTACACTGAATGTTTTTACACAGACACTGTCTCTGTAAACCCCCTCGGTGCAAAAGTCACTCTGTGTAAAACTCTTCAGTGCAAAATTGAATATTGTGAAGGGTACAAGATTTTTGCACTGACATATTTTACACCGCCTCTTTCTGTGTAAAAATGTCAGTGCAAAATTGAAAGTCACGTCCGGGTCCAAGACTTTTGCACTGACTTCTTTACACAGAAACTTTTTACACGGAATGTAAAAAAATCAAATATGTGTAAAATTGTAATTGACCCTGATGCATTTCAAATTTTACACTGATAAAATTTTACACCGAGTTAGTCTGTGTAAATCACTCAGTGTAAAATTCCCACTCCCCATTGTGTATAAGCAATAAGTGAGAATTGGGTTTGGCGCCAAATTGGTCAACTGTCGCCTTGAAATTCAACTGACGCTGTACACCCACTTCGGCAACCGGTGTGTGACGTGTGCGACTGACTGCGCACCACCAAAAAGTTGCACTGATTTTTGGTCGCATATGTGACCCAAAAAAATGATTCGGTAAACCAAAATGCACCAAAAGGCGCATACGTATTTTTGCACATATGTGCACAAATTGTGCGAATTCTTGAAAACGAAAAAAGTCGTATATTTTTTTGACATATGCGACTGCAAGGCTTCTCTTGACCCCTCACTACCTCTTTTTCAACATCTCATCACAAAGAATTCATTTGCTTTTGGATTTGAATCATCAAAATCCTTCATTCTCAGTCTTGACATGACCTTTTCAATCTTGATACGGCCTCCCTTTTGTTAATCTCAACAATCAATACTTGCATTCAAACTTAACTACCTCCTTTGATTGATCATAATCTGTTTGCTTTCTTCCAAATCACAAACCATTTTGTCATCTCGAATCACATCCAAGCATTTCGGTTTTGGACTCAATTGTTACCTTTCAACCATATTTTTCAGCCACTTATCAAATATTGTCTATTTGATTTGATTTTGTCACTTTGAAAGGTCCTTTGCTTGCAATTTGTTTGATAAATGTTGAAACCAAAGAGTTTTAAAGCTATCAGAAATCAAATCAAATAGATTTACACCTCCTCGGTTTGAAGGGTGGAAGTCAAGAAGTGAAAGATGAGGTAGTATTGAAGAAATTGAGTGAGAGTCTTGATTGTGAGACTGGTTGACCTTGTTTGACAGATGGCAAAAGGTATTATTGAGATCTATGGCGCTGAATGCACATCACAGCTCACTTTGTGACTGTTTACCAAATGTTCCCAAATAGCAAAGGGTTACGTGTTTTTACACATACACACACGGTGAGAAAATTTCTCACCGTGATGTAAAAGTTGCATTAAATGATTAATGTGACTTTTTTTGCCGAAGTGGGTGGTATGTGTCCAGCTGATGCTGTATGTTTAACAGCTGACGCGGGAGCCCCGGCCCCGAGGCGTCGGCGTGACGCATCCTGGATGTGTCAGGTTTTTGCCCGGGGTGTAAGTATATGTTGAGGAAGATTGAAACATGAAAGATATAATGAAAAATCAAAATAATAAAGTACTAACACTCCACCAGTCCCAGGCGCATTGTGGATTCAAGAGCTGTGAAGGATCATCATAGCTCAAAGGATCTAACCCTTGGAGGTAGTGATCTAACTCGCCAAGATCACTTGAGGTATTAGCACATTTGTAGAGCTCAAAGACCTTTGGTAGCTTCTTTTTGACTGAAGGATTTGAGACAATGATAATATCATCATCATCACTTGAACTAGCTAGATGGAATGGGCTTGCGAGATATTTCCTCTTGACGTTCCTTGTATCGGGTTTGTAGCAATTCATCGGCGTGGTCGTTCATGCCCAAATGCTCTTCAAAGCTTAAAGAAAGGAAACTGAGCCGGAAGCTGGGGTGAAAGATTGTAGCCAGGACTAAGGAGTCACAACTTGCGGCTTTGTTCAAGTATTTCTTGGTTCTCTGCAGCATCTCATGTATCATTGGATACATGGGATCGTCGTCCATGAGACCATTGGGTTGAGATTCAAGCAAATTCTTGAGCTCACAATATTCGTGCAAGACCATACAACCAGTAGGACCATCACCCTCCATCCTGCAACACAACCCTTGCAAAGGCTGTTCCGGAGTGAAATCTTATTAGCCATCTAATAATAAAACAGTTCAAGTATTGATGAACTCACAATCAACTCTTGTATAACTTCTTGAAGTGATTCCCAGTCGCCAACCAAAAAGACAAGTTCTTGAAAATATCCAAGTTTAGTTTTTTGTGAACAACGCTTTTTGGCATGGACCTTGGCCAGATCCTCCTTCATCAACTTATTGATAATCTGAGATGTTGAAAAGAGTAGGGGAGGGATCATCAGTGTATAATCATTAGGAATGATTATGCAACAGAACTTAGATCTCTTGCAGCATACATATGTTCCCATTGATCGAGTTCAATATTCCATCGTATACCGTATTCAGCCAAGAGAGCAAGTAGGGGAGGACCTTCCTTCTTTTCCTTGCGCTTGTTGTTGACAATCACATGGCGGCGGTTGAAGTCTTCCCGCCAAGCCACTGATCAAGTAAGTTTTTTATTTACTATGTTGAGCTACATCACCAGAAAACTTAGCACATATGACATCATCGAAAGAGAGCAAAGCCCTTGAGAAAGCCAAAACTTACATTTTGGATCAATCAAGCCATACGAGTCCGTGCAAGACCTTTATAATTAGTACGGGAAGCTGTTGCTTGAGGGGGTTCAGGATCTTCATCATCAAATTCCACACATTCTTCTTCCTTGGGTTCATCCTCATCATCAGAATCCAGAAGAAGTCCAATATCACAAGCATTGTCCTCACTTTCAAGATTGTTAGATGTTGATTTGACAGGTTCTTTGACATCTAGCACAATACTTTCATCCATTTCGGCCACAGATTCCATCGCGTCTATGTTAGGGAAATTGGCGAGTGTTGCATGTCGATGACGCTTTGGTTTAATTCCAAGGGTGTCCAGTCCAGCATGAACAACGAGGCCCATCTTGTGGCAGATGCAGAAGACATGCATTGTCTTTGGTTTCCAGTGGCAAGTTGGGTCATGTTTGAGAAGTTGACGTTGTAGCTCGGTCCACAAGGTCATGTTGTTTTATTCTGAATCAGATGACATAGCAATCATGTGCTGGGATGGAAATTGAGGTGAAAGAAGATATAGAAAATTAGCAAAAAAGAAATTAAATATGTCAAACAAAAAAAAATCAAA